GGCAGAGTTCCTACAAGCTACTAGCATTCAAGACTCGAGCATTTCTCTACATGTTCTAGAATCAAGATTCATGATTCAAGCTCAAAGACCCTTGAATTCAAATACGAATCAGAAAGAATATACAATCATTCATCTACAAGTTCTAAAGATCAAGATTCAACATCAAGATCAAAGACCCTTGAAATACAAATCAAGCACAAGTTAATCAAGATTCAAGATCAAGCTCAAAGGCTTGAATCCGAATACAAATCAATAACAAGTCCACCAAATTCAAGATAAAGCTCAAAAACCTTTGAATTTATATTCGAAAAGAAGACTTACATGATTCATAGAGATGGTAACACTCATACATTTTAAATCAAATATTTTGATTATTGCGATATTTTTCAGTCTTGATTGTTATTTTCTCGACACAAATTTTATTGTCTATAGTGATGTTTTTCATTCTCCTAACATTTACACTATTTTGGCTCTAAATGATTACATGCCTCCACTATTTCCACTAGCTTTTGATTTCACCCAAGAACAATCTATTACCACATATTAGTGTTCGATCTACTCCAGTTCCTAAATTAATAATTTTTTTGTGTTGTACAATAGGTTTGTTGGCCAAGTTTTCATTTAAGTTAGCTTTTCATTTCTATGCAAGCAATCTTAACAACTTCTCTTTTCTTTGGTGTTCAATCCTTTGACATTCCAACATGCCCTAAGACTTCCAAAATATTATCTTTGTTTCATTGATAATAAGAATTATTTGTTTCTTCCTCTGGAGCTATTGTTTTAGTTATTAACGGTACATAAGGACATCCTTGGAATAATGCAGTAGGTGTCATAACTAATCGAGTAGCTATAAAAGCATGAGCCTATTTAACAATGAAGCTGACCAAAAATACTTGTTTTTTCAAAAAAACTTTAGCAAATGTGAATCACATGGAGAGTTTGATCCTAGCTCAAGATGGTGCCTTACTACGCCATAGGAAGACGTGTAAGAGCGTTCATGGTGGTGCTTCAAGATTCCAATGTACTACATTGAATTCCAACTTCCTTAGCTCCCTAAATCTCTTTTTTCTTTGTGTTCACAAACTTATATAAATTGTATTTCTTTCTTTTTTCTTGCATATTTTTTCTATATTATTCAAATAAGGCATGTGCTTCCTTCAAAGTCTTCGAATTGTACTCCTACTTGTTTGTTCAAGAGTTGATGTGTACTTATGGTCTCGCTATTGAGGTATTCAGTTCATGTAATTCATGCATCTATTCATGAATTGTTTCGAGATCAAGTCATGTGAAGATTTCCCATGCTGGTTGTATGAAGTGATTTTCTTCACCTTACTCTAGTTACATCCAATTGTACCACCTGAAATTATCGAATAATTTTCTAACTTAACTCAGACCTCCATGCCTGCAATTGAGCATGTGTTCTGATTGACCTGCTACAATTTTTAAATCAATTCGGTCAACCAACTTCGTAGTATCCTTAGAGATCTTGCTCCTAATACCTTGTGATTTTGATCAAGAAATGTCTCTTTGATCTTTTGACATTAACCCCTTAATTTTCTTCTCTGTCCTAATAGCAAGTTTTAAGTCGTCTTTCTTAAGGAGCAAAAAAAAGAGGAAATAGACTAGCTGGTTTGGCCACAACAAACCAAGACCATGGTAACCTTTTTAACGAAAGCGTCACGACAACATCCAAAGAAGACCTTTGGGTTCTTAAGTAGGGGGCAAGGAGGAGCACATATGAATGAAGGCCACTACATAAGCCTCTAGTGGCTAAGAGAAAGCGTGCAACACCTTGTATAGATTGGGCTAAGCTTAAAAAAGCAAGCCCCTATCACAAAAAGTCATTACGTGCTATCCTGGCTAGTAAAAGGAGCTGGATGATATTGTACCTCAGATGTACTCTTTTGAGGGATGAGCAATCCCCCTTTTTTTTAGGAACTGAGCAACAATAATGGCCATGAGAACAACATTTTGGTCTGAATTCTATGGTAGAGAACATTGCTATAATAATTGGGCCATGAAAGACTACGTATTGCAAAAGAAGGGGTCCACTAATAGAGTTAGGCAGGGAGGCAATACTTGTTATTAGGTTAGAGAAAGGCATGGTCTGTAAACAATGTTGAAAAATAACTATTAGGAAAATCCTTAACCCCACAATGTTGAAAAATAACTATCAAAGTTGCCATGTGACTTCAAAGTAACAAAACAAATTCGTACTTTCTTCAACATCTCTTTCACAAAAGATGCTCCTGCTGCACATATGAAAACCTTTTGCTGCAAATTTGTTAAACAGTCATCATGAACCAAAACCTAGCAAAAACACTCCACTTTAAATGGCACCTTGGACCACAATATAACCTTCCAGCGTAAAGAGGAGTATAATGTGCTATTGGAACCAAGACGACGTAAGATTTGATTGTAAAAGCCATTTTTTCTGCACAGTCCAGACCAAAAAGATCATCTTTATCATTTATAAATGATGCCAAACTTATATCATGTTACCGTATCATCCACTTCCCAACCAAAACAATTTCTCCTTATATTCAAAACTCAAATGTCAATTATTTCCACTTCTCAAAAGAGCAACAACAGAATTTCTACCCTTTTACTTAAGGCTCGAATAAATTCCTGACCCAATCATTTCTTAAATGTAACTAAATTTCTAGATTTCTCCTTAATGTAAAATTCCAATTTTCTATCTAGCTTTTCTACTTAACATGTCCAACTAATTTTACCCAGACTGTTACCTTACAGAAATCCTCCTCCTTCATCTTAACCCAAAATTGAGTATCCAAAACTCATATAGGCGAATTCCCAGGTGGGTAAAGCATGTACCATTTATATAAACTTTTTGCACAGTCTTGCATTTTATGTGCTCTTAGTCTTTATCTTCTACACATTTCCAATCCCTTACAATATGAAACCAATCACCTACATAACTATCATATAATGTTGAAGTTGAATTTAACCCTTCTTTAATAAAAAGTTTCTCTTTGAATGGGAGCCTTGGAGAAACGATAAAGTCGTCTCTGTGTGACCTATAGGTCACGGGATCAAGTCGTAGAAGCAGCCACTAATGCTAGCATTAGGGTGCGACCCTTCCCATGATTTAGCATGTTTTTTGCACTGTGCTGCCCATAAAAAGTTTCTCATCCTCTCCATAGCTCATACAACATTTATGAGCTACTTCCCGGATCTCTTAGCTCAAAGGACTTTTCTACAACTATAAAGAATCAATGAGCTACCTCAAATCTCTACAAACTCAGAGGATTTTGCTCAAAGAATCTTACTACCCAGCATAAACCCCAAGTGATGGACTTGGAAACTAAGAGGAAGGGGAAGAAGAAGACTTCGTATAATCGATTGAGGATCAAATGGGGTTGCTTGACCCCTGCCCAAGCCTAAAAGATAAAGGAGAAGTTAATGGCAACGGGGGTTTGGGGGAGTAGTGGAGATGCGAGCAACACGTGGGATAAGACAGCAACAAGAGAGGTGATAAGGGTTACGAAGGGCAACTTTTGTGGTCATCGAGTGGATTGGATGGAATGGAAAGTACAAGGCAAATGAAAGCAAAGAAGGCTTCTTATGCTTAATTGGTGGAGAGAAGACGAGAAGGAGAGGTGGACGAACATGGTAAGGTATAAGGCGATGAAAAAGGACGTGAAGTTAGCGATTCCATTGGCAAAAATCGACAACTTTCAAACGCATGTATGTTGAGCTAAGAGACAAAAGCGGGGATAAGAAGTTGTACAGGCTCCTCAAGGTGAGAGAGAGGAAGGTTGAGACTTGGATCAAATGAAGTGCATCAAAGATGAGGACGGTAAAGTGCTAGTGAAAGACGCACACATTAGATGAAGATGACTGGCATACTTACATAGATTCTTGAACGAAGAAGGGTACATGGACATCGTGTTGGGTGATTTAGAGAACTTAAAGAGTCAGCGAGATTTTGAATACTATCAAGCATTTTCTCCCTTCCTTGTGACAGAGCAGGGCTCTAGTCCGGAGCATTTATTTGTTTCAGTATCTGTATTATTATTTTTATGCTAGCACCGTCTTATCTTTCGATTCTATTACTGCTAATGTTAAATTTACTTTGGCTATCTATACTAGTTTACTCTCAATACTTTTCTTTCTTCATTGTTTTCATCATTGTTTTGTAATCTTGAGCTTCTTTCAGACTTATTCTGAGCTGAGGGTCTACCAAAACCCTTTTGCTTACACCTCGCCCGACCCCACTTGGGACTATATTGGGTATGTTGCTGTAATATTATTACTTGAGTGGCCAGTTAAGAAATGCAAGTGCAATCAACACAACTCTTACTTAGGTAAAACCAATGTCACATTAATGTGACGTTTTTGCCTTCATCCTATAGTTGAAAAACTTATCTCACATTGAACTTACTAGGGAGTCATTTGGAAAGTAAGCTATTGTCTTTAACTTTTGGGGTGATGAATGATTAACCTATGGCAGGCAGAGAGCCTGAGACTCTTTATTAGCAACTTAGACTACCTATATGTTGGAAACAACAATAAGAAAAGACTGCCTATAAGTTGGCAAAGGCAACCCCTTAGAAAGAAGCCAATTCATCATTATAAGAAAGTAGTATTTTGGAACTAATACCACATCTTTTGCATCAACAAGGCAAGTACAGAAAGGAAAGGGAGTAAAGGTATAGGAATGTATCAAAGGGGATGTAGACATTCTTATTTCTGCACCATCTATTGGATAAAGAGAACCAGAACATGCCTGGTTGACAATTAATAGTAATCATATTACATAATAGGGAACCGAATACATTTGACGTTAATTTAATCCAATCATTAAATAAAAATCCATCTTGACAAGTGAGTTTTTTCTAGTGGCAAGAATACTCTACTTCCAGGCCAGGCATCAGTAGTTCGAGTCAATAAGGAAGCAAAGTGGGAAATAAAGCAAATAAGGCAGATCAGTTAATTTCGTTACTTCTAAGATTCAATAAGTATAAGAAGGCACATACGTTTTAGACAAAGCATCAAATATATTCTGAGCTTCAGCGGTGACCCCAATCCCGAATCTCTCAGCATCTATCTCTGCTTGTCTGCAAAATTTAATCAAATACACAACCCATTAAATTCCAACTCATTATCTTTACAAATTCATAAATAATTTAACAAGAACCTTAAAGCAGAATCTTCTCTGGCTTGAAGGCTACTGAGATCAAGATAACATTTACTGGTATCAAGTGGGTCTTGGTTTTGACCAAGAAAACTGAACTCTTTTATATAGTTCGCTTTCAATAGCCTTATGTCTCTCTTAGGCCCTGATGCAGAAACCCCTTCTTGTAATTTCAAACAAACAGTCAAGGAAATCGCAAGAACCAAAAAGAAAATAAATTAAGAGATAAATTGCAGCAAGGATATGAAGAACGAGGATGTTGGAGGGTTTGTCATAGGCGATAACTTGAGCTTCAAACTCGTCACCTAAAGTAGTCTTGATGGATAAAGCGCATCCAATTGCGAACTCTTCGTTGGTGAAAGCTTCCATGGGAGCAGCAGGCACGCTGCAGCTGAGATGAAAGAAAAAAAAAAGTACACTGCAATTTTTGGTTTGGTAAAAGGGGACTTGTTGCCGAGAGAAAAATGACTTCAAAGCCCAAAATCACAAGAAATAGACACCATGGCCCAAATGACAAAAATAGTTATAGTTTGTAGGGAAAATTTTCAATAAATATTTATTGAAAATGTCAATATTTTGATTTGTTATAATACTGATTGTATTTATTTAATTTAAAAGAATATAAATTTTTAATAACATAATGGAGAGAATCATGGGAGAAAAAATATTTCAAAAAAGGTAAAAATATTTCCCTTAGTTTTTTATCCTTACTTGTTTGAACTTTTTTAAATATGATTTTATCTGAAATGTATTCGGATGAACTTCTTTAAATATGATTTTGTGTGTCATTATTTTAAAATGTAATTGAAATATAAATTGCGAGTGATATTGAAAATACAAAATGAGCCAAATAAAATACAAATCTATTTAACTGATGCAAATAGTATGAATACGTATATAATGAATGCATAAATAAATTGTAATTTGGCTATTTAGAATTGAAAATGAATACAAAACCAAATCTAAATACAAATTATCTGGTATACAAAGTGATAATGAAAATACAAAATGAGCAAAATAAAATACAAAATCTATTTTATTGATGCAATTAGGATGATTACATATATAACATAAATATACTATATTTTGGTTATTTAGAATAGAGAATGAATACGAAATCAAATATAAATACAAAACTTGATGGTATACCATTAGGATGAATACAAAATCAAATCTAAATACAAACTATTTTGATATACAAAGTGATATTGTAAATACAAAATAAGCAAAATATGATAAAAATATTGTTTTACATATGCAATTAGGATGAATACCTAAATAATGAATACATAAATAAACTATATTTTGGTTATTTAGAATTGAGAATGAATGGACAATTAAGAACTTCAATCCGACAATTGATTCATCAAATTCCATGGATTCAAGAAGAGTCTTTTCGGAACCATCCATAGAGCGGTGGCGGCGGAGATCTGGAACCCGACAAGGAAACCGCCCGAGTCCGATAAGCATAGAAGTTGTGGAGCAGGTCCGACTCTTGATTAGACGTATGAGAGGGAAAATAAGATATTATACCCAAATTTGCACGAAGAATTGCCGGATGTTGAAATCGTACAAGTCGAAGAAATTTCTTAAACAAGTATAGGAGATAACAATGGTGGAAACAATAGAGAGAATGGAGAGATTTGGGGTAAAAAAACCTAGAGAGAATATTAGAATGTGGGGTCTTTTTTTCTTTTTTCTTTTTATTTTTAACCGGTAATAGAGTCAAACTATGTAACTGATTTGAGAAATAAAAGGATAGTAAGTTAATTATATTAGGATACATTGTATTTGCTACAATAATGACAATAATGACATTTTTAATAATTATTTTAAAATGTAGATGTTTTAGCTAATTATGTTAGGAATTTTGACTAGTTTGCTAATTTCCCCTCCCTAGTTTGTATCACCCTTAAAATATATAATTATATAAATGTATTTTTTTTAAAATAATGTATCTACCTTTTACAATACACAAATACAATTTGATAATAATTGTATTAGTTTTTTTATACACAAATACAGTTTATTTGATATAACTAATTATATCAATCGAAGAAAATATGATTTGATAATAGGTGATAAGTCAGAGATTTGGACTCATTTAGGGCTTTGTTTGATAGGTTTAGTGTCCTCAAATGTTTAATTTGCGCCATAAACTAATGTTAAAGCCTTAATTTCCAGGTATATGGATTGAGGAGCAAAGCAAGGACACTAGCAGGCAAAAAGGAACAAAACAAATTGAAGAAGTGAAGAAAGGCGAGATTGATGATCGCCAAGAGCACTCGGCGTGTCGCCAAATGGCTACTTTGACCGCCTAAAGTTCCAATGTGCCATCCTTGAGGGAAGAAACTAACTCGACGACAAAAAAGGGGTAGTCGACGAATCGCCGAGTAGTTCCGCGATGCCAAGAATGATCTCCCAAAGTTACATGACTTGAGGATGTTGAGAGCCAATGCAAAAAGGTGATAGAAGAGAGCAAAGGGCGGTTCGTCGAGTGGTTCGGCGAACCCAACTTACCTCGCCTAATGGCCTTTCGTCGCTAATTTTTGACAACTATAAATAGAATTTTGAATTATAAATTGAGGAGTTCTCTTTTAGCTTAGAATCAGTTTTTAGTCTGGAACAGTTTTCTCTTAAGTTTCTTGGTAGACTTGAAGGTTTTGAGACTTAATTTGAAGATTTTGCAAGTGGGTTTCGAATTTTCTGCAAATTGAAGCATTGCAAAATTTGAATTACTCTTACCCAGTTGATGGCTAATCGATTTGGTAATGGTTTTTATCTTTTTATGATGCTTGGCTAAAATCCCAATTCTTGGGGTGTGATCATGTGATTATGGGTTGAATTAGTTTATGAGTATTGTTAATTACTAGTTTAAATGCTATACTTAAGTGAGTTTAATCATTAGTTGAGGTTTAATTTATGAATTGTAGTTGCAAATGCAGTTCTAATTTTGTGTTCTTAGCTTGCGAGAGAGAGAGGTTTTTGAACCAAAGCTTTTGATTAATGGTTTGTAGGTATTGGGTTGATTTGGGTTCAGCTCGAGATAGTGAATCTTAAACTTAATCCTACGCATCTTGCTCGAGAGAGAAGATGTATTAAGGTTATGGATTGTTCTTAATTGCTATGCTTGTTGATGTTCGAGAGAAATCACTTGAAGCGGAATAGTTGTTCGAGAGAAAGCTATTTCAATTATAATCTAGCCTACCCATTGATATTTAGCTATTTACTAGTAGTTTCAACTACCCATATATCAAAATTTTCCTATAATCGATTAATAGGTGTATCGGTTTTTCTGATACACAGATACAATTAGTTGTATCTATTTAAGATGAAGAGAAGATTCAAATATTGAACCACAAATCAAAAATCCATTGTCACGCTCCGAGCCTACACCCTGGGCAGGACTGGCACTTGAGAACTATTGTTGGCCCCAAGAGAACCCTTGGCCTGACTTACTACTCAGCGGAAGACTTAAATAACTAGGAAATAGTCTCAAAAGATGAACTCGTGAAATAAACTTGGAATGTTTTAAAAGAAACATTCAATTAGCCAAGATGGCAACTCAAGTCTCAAAACATAAGCCAATAACAAGATAAAGACAAATGAGCTAATAAACTGTCTATGAAGCCTCTAAAACTGTGAGGGATGTCGGGACAAGACCACCGATCATCCTAACAACTAAAAAACTAGTAAAGCAATGCAAATAGGGATCCTACGGAAGGCAATGAGGCTCACCACAAGACTCTGAATGCTCAACTGGATCAACGAAGGCTGGATGCTGATCATGGTTACTTGTATCTGCATCATAGCAACGATGCAGGCCAAATGGCATCAGTACATTGAATGTACAAGCATGCGAGGGGAATTCTAAAATAAGACATAAGCTTGAAAGGAACTGAAAAAACATACATAGGCTTAACTCAACTCAACTAACTCATTTCAATATAAAACAATAATATAAATGCAATATAAAGAAAAGCTTTTAAAAAAAATAGTGTAACACCCAAAAAACTAGTAGGTTAAACTGGACCCTTACGTAAGGGTTCTAGAGCTTTACGTGGGGTTAGAGTTGTAAAAATGACTTCCTGTAGTTAGAATGAGGGGTTTAGGGGTTAAACGTCAAGGTACGACTCCCCAAAGACCAACCAAAGGGTCCTTGAAGAGGACCCTAAAACAACCCCAGAATTTGCCTCCAAGGTAGTGATCCACGATGGGGACTCTCGCCTCGTGGGTCCACCCACGCTCCGTAGGGGAGGGTCATGGGTCAAGGCCTGCCAACCAAGCTATAGTACCTCCACCCACGGATGACCAGCACAGCCCGTGGGTCGGGGTCTCGTGGGTGAGGCAACCTTGTCCTTAGGTGGTTTAAGTTGGACAGTTAGGGAATATTCTAGAATTAATTAGTTATAAAGTGGTGTCATTTTATTAGTAACTAGACCACCAATATAAAGCTTTTAAACCATTAATTAAAGGATTCCAAATCATTATTTTCAATTCACCAAAGAACCCAATTCCCTCCAAGAAATTCTCTCTCTAGAAAGTGAAAAAGAAGAAGAAGAAGAAGAAGAAGAAGAAGAAGAAGAAGAGAAGCAAGCTAGGCCAAATTCCTCCATTTGTTGCAAGATTTTGTGAGGGCTTTATAATCAAGGTATGTTAGCTTATTCATCCATAGATTCTTCCATCCATGGAGCCCCCTAGATTTCCCCAAATTGTGAAGATGAACCCCCAATTCTAGCTAGGGTTTCTTCATATATTATGGGTAGTGTTGAGTATGATTCCAATTGAGTGGATAGTACTTGTTTATGATTGATTTAGTATTGAATCAAGATATTATATGTTTTCCATGGCTAACCCTAGTTTAATTGATGAAATTGTAGTAATGTGGGTTTATGCCCTGTGAAGGGAAATTGAGGATTCATAGATGATCTTCTAGAATTGATGTTATGTATAGTAATTGTTCAAGAATAAAAGCATGTAAACATGAATTGAACTAGAATAAAGTATATACCATCGATCATGACTAGTAAAGCTTGAGATTGAATCTTTATGATGAATTATGACTAGAATTGCTTAAAGATGAAGCTTGCGACTTGAATGTCTTGTGATCTAGATATGTATGATGATTGTAAGAAGTAAAACTTTGAGAGTAAGACTTGTAGTCATGAATGTTGATCATTAGGGCTTTGAGAGTAAAGCTAATGTGATGAATTATGTATTCTAAGGCTTTGAGAGTAAAGTCTATATGAGAATAGAGGCCTAATAGGTAGAATTGTGGTGAAAGCCTATACTCACCTAACCTACCTTATGAATGCTTGAAGTATAAAGAGATATAAGCACTTGAACATGGATTGATTGTCAAGGACATTCTTCCATGAGACATGAATATTAAGCAAGGCTTAAAATTAAATCTAGGGGTGTATGCTTGGCCCCAAGTGGATATTGACCATGGGATGGAGTGTCA